CGGGCTGCGGCTGGAGCGGGCGCTGCTGCCCTTGGGGCCGTCCTCGCGGTGCTTGGGGCTCAGCCTGCGGGGACAACAAGGGGACGGGGTGACCATGGGGAGAAGCAGTGCAAACAAGGGGACCAACTCTCCTCCTATCCCCAGCACGGCATTGCCCTTCGCTGCACTCCTGTGGGACTGCCGGTCACAAGCCACAACCAGAGATGAGGGTCAGGCCTCACCAAAGTAGGAAATGGGCTGAAAATACGTGGTTTTGGCTTTTGCCCTTTCAAACTCTGCCAGCTGGTTTGAAACCCTGGCCAGGCACCACATTTCCAAACAAAATTCCACAACCAAGGGGCTGAGTCATCTTTTTTGATTGGCTTTGGAAACACAACTAAGGATGCTCAGGTATTCATGGGACTCCAGGAGCTGATGATTTAAGGGGCTTACAAAAAAACAAAAAACAAAAAACACCCACCAACAACAAAACTCCAGCCCAGCAAGACTGCGCTAAGACTGTGAGGGCCTGCCATGGCTCATGTCCCCACGTGGGAGAAACCAAGTTTATCATGCACCTCCCAGAGCCTCACCAGGGACTGCGGTCCCCATCTTGGCGTCCCCAGACGTCTCGACACCTGCATCCAGAGTCCCCCTGCCCTCCTCGTCACCTCTCTGCCATCCCAAAAGGGAGGTTTTGGGGCTGTTTCTGCTGTGGCAGTTGAGGCAGGGGTCCTCCTACCTGCTGGGGGATTTGGAGTTGCTGTAATCAGAGGAGAGCGAAGCACTGTGGGAGCTGCAGCTACTGCGTCTGTGCGACCGCCAGGCTGGGGATTCACTGTGGGACCTGCGGAGAAGACAGGGATGGGGAGGAAGGGTGGCTGAATCACCGGATGGGGACAGGGGAAGGGGCAGTGTGGTGGTGCTGGAAGTGGGATGCCCCTGGGTCCCCACAGGGTGCCGGGACCCTCCATGCTGGTTCCTCCCCTTGCACCATCCCCAGCAGCCACTCATTTTGGGGGCTCCTGCCACCTGGGTTAGTTTGGTCACCAGCCCAGAGCCCCTCCCTGCCTGGCCAAGGGCGAGACCCCCACAGGCAGGAACAGCCCCACACACCCTCCCAGCATGGCACAGGCTCTAGGAGCCTCGACCTGCCACCTCAGTGGGGCTGGCTACAGCAGGGGCTGGCCACCAGCATCTCACCTCTTGCGCTCTTTGTTTTTCTCTTTCCTTTTGTTCTTGGGGCTCCTGGACCTACAGAAACAGCAGAAAGTTGAAAATGCAGACATGGGAGCATGGGCAGCCCCCATATCTGCAGCGGGCACCCCTGCGCTGCTGACACCCCTGTGGGGGTGACGCTGCTCCCTGCCCCACGACAGCAGGCACCTGGCACTCAACCCGGGGGCCAGCTTGGGGTTCAGCCCTTGGTGCCTAGCCTTCTTTGTCTGCACTGGCCATCCCCCCACTTTGTGGCATGACAGCAGATGCTGGAGCCCAGCTGCAGGCTCAGCTCCACCTGGAGACAATCTGACCCAGAGCCAAGGGCCAACCGAGGAAGAAACCTGTTGGGGCTTCCAACAGGCCTATCGTGACTCCAAATACTGCAAACCCCAAGATCTGAGGGGGATTTGCTTGGGGCTAGGCCAGCCCTGTGGTGAGACCTTGCAGACAAGGGTGGCTCCTCTCTCCACTGTGACCAAGCTCCGATCAAGTCATTCAATGACAGGACAGGCTAGCAGCAAGGAGAAGGGGGCTGTTTCTGCCCTGGCTCAGCAGGTTTTAGGACAGTTATCACTTCTCTGCTTGCCTTCCCCTGCTTCACCTACCTCCAGAGCTGCTCTGCGCACAATGGCCCCTTTGCCTATTTTTTCCTCATGCCTCCCTAAAGAGTGGTGCCAGCAGAGGGCATGTGCAGAACAAGGCATGGCCAGGGCTTGCCATGGTGAAGCCTTCCTAGATCCATCCCTTCCTCCCCAGGGAGGAGATCAGGGGCTCGCTAGCCCCAAGAGTGGGGCCCTTCAAGCCATGGTGGAGAAAGCCTGGAGGTCAGGCACATCTCAGCATTGCCTGCATTGGGTATGTGCTGGTTCTGCAGATACCCCCAGGGCTGTGAGTTTGCCCCCAGCAGAAGTAGACTTACTTGCAGACTGGTGGCAGGAGAAGGCAGTCCTTTGGGCAGCCCTTGGGAGGTAGCTGGGTGCTAGTTAACTGGTCCAGGGCTTTGTTTCACTGTTTGGCAGAGTAACAGTCCCTCACTGGGTCAGACCTGTGTACTACAGTCCTACAGCCTCCAAAATGTCTGGCCACAGGGAGCAGGATGAGCAGTGATGGGTGGGGTTGTTGACTCCAGGCCTGCTAGGACTCAGAACATGGCTAGCTACTCAAGAGGCTGGTGAGACCTCAACAGGGTGGCCCCTTGCCACCTCGAAGGTGGGTGGATAACCAGTGATGCCCAGCCTCGGGGTTGAGGGGGATGCCCCGACTTCAAGGCACATTCCTGTCCCACAGCCAGCCCCACAGTCCCAAGGTGAACAACGTCTGTTGGGTGCTTGTGAAGGAAAACGCGTGTCAGCCTCACTTGTATCACCGAGAGGGCCAGCCATCATAAAGCTAGTATCTCCCATTGCAGATAGAACTTGGCACCTGCCTAGAAATTGCCACACTCCCCACCTCACTCCCGTGGCTCTGATGGGGCAGTCACTTACAGGATCCATAACTCCTCAGGGTGCTGCTCCCCCTGCCCCAAATGCTCCATGGCAGGGAGGGCCCATCACCACAGGGTGGAGGTGGCAGGGGCAGCAGGAGGGAAGAGGGCCAGCGGCTCTCGCAGTGGGAGGAGAAGCTGGAACCTAGAGCAGGTCCCAGTGGGATGGCTTCCTGCAGCCTTTGCTCTCACCTGTGTCTTCTCTTCTTCCGGGATCCAGACTCAGACCTAAAGGACAAAGAGGAGACAGAGATGAAGGAGACATGTTGAGCCAGCTAACGAGGAGGAAAGGCTGGGCAGCCCCTGGGGGACAGAGACCAAGTGGGATGAGGGCAGGTGGGTGGGAAGGGAGGAGGCAGCCCACCACTGGGATGGGCTGGTGAATGGGAGAGGCAGTCAGCAAGGGAGCTGGGAGCACAGCAGCCACTGCTTGAACAGCCCCAGCCCCTTGAGCAATGCCATCCTCAAGCCACGGGGACACACCAGGTCCCTGGCACATCCTTGGCAGGCATCAGGGAAACAACTCTCTGGCACCCTCTTACCTCCTCCTGCCTGCCAAAGTGCCTCCCTCCAGATTTACTATAGCACACCCCATTGTGGCTGTGGGAGGCCCTGTCACCAAGGACCCTTCCCAAGGTGTCCAGCATCTGGGGCCACCTCAAGCTGGCCACGTGCAGTGGCTCAGCTGCCCTCAGGCCTGGGCTTGGTGGAGGTCAGGGATGTAGGGCAGGCTGCACTGCCAAGACAGTACCCAGGGCAGGGAGACAGCGATGGGGGCTCATGGGTGCCAGGGTGCTGCCATGCACCCGCAGGGCTCTGGGCAGCCCCGTGGCTGGATTTGCACTGGGAGTGGGGCAGAGCAGGAGGGTTCATGTCCTGTCCCCACACATTAGTCTCTGTCGAGCTCACCCCTAACCAGCCCTGCTCAGCACCCATCCCTCCCTGCAACCCCCAGATGGAGGGGGCGAGGGAGAAGAAACATAGGCTGACACGCTGCCCTTCTTACCTGTCACGTCTGTGTTTCTTTCCAGCCTTCTTTTTCTTCTCCTTGCGGATTGGCGAAGAGCTGTCGCAGCTGGAATAAAAAGAAGTGGCAGCCCTTGAGCCGGTGGTGAGGGCCTCTCCAGCCCTGGCTAGGGTGCAGCAGGGACCCAGAGTCCTGTCCCTGTGGCCCATGGGAGTCCACCCCCACCATGCACCAGCACCCCGCTTCCCTGGGGTGGCCAACAGGGCTTAGACACATGAACATTGCACAGAAACCATTTCCTTAGGGGATCTGTGATGGAGCTAGAAAGTGACTTTGGAGCACAGACTGTGTGTAACTTTGGCCCCAGACCACGCACATCCCGCTGTGTCCCATTGCCACCTTGTGGGCTCTGCAGTCTCCAGCAGGAAATGCAGCTGGAGGAGTTTTTCCCATTTCCCAGCTGGACAGCAAGCAGCAAAGGCCACCTTGCACAGGTTACCCATGCGCACTAGTGCTCACCTCCTTCCAGCCCAGCCCTCCCAAACCACCGGCACGCACCCCACTCCACCACCCTCACCATACCACAGCAGGGCTCGGGGCCATGGGCACCCACGGGGCTCTGCAGGGCACCACGCTCAGTTCAGCCCTATGCCACAGCAGGGAGGGAGGCAGCAGGTGACAGCACCATGCAAGGTGACGCACACCACTGAGCCCACCACCACAGCACAGAGCCCCACACTGTGGCCAGGGCACTCACCTGCGCTCCGAGCCAGGTTTCCTCTTTTTGCTGCCACAGGGAAGGCAAAGAAAGGCACATTAAGGAGAGCAGCTCCTAGCCCCAGCGTGGGCTATACAGGGCAGGAGCAGGCCCCAGGCACTAACTGGGGAGGGGACCGGCAGAAGAACAGAGCCAGACCCCCCCCCCCCCCAAACGCACCAGATCCTGCCCGGTGCTGTGTCCTATGCCAGCCAGGTCCTTCCTCCCTAAGACCTCTATCAGCATTTCCAGCTGGGTGGGCTGAAGGGTGATGGTGCATCTCTTAATGGCTGAAATTACCCACACCAACTAGCCCTTGTGCTAATTGCCTTGTTAAGTCAGATCCCCACAAAGCAGCTGACTGTGGCTGTGTGGTTGGGTCCCCCATGGTAGGCTAAATGGCAGTGCCAAAGTGGGGCTCACCGGCCTGTGGGAGCTCCTTGCAGAGGGGCTGGGCTGGGTGTGCATGCTGCAGCTCCTGTCCTCGTAGATGTGTTGTGCTGGGGGGTGTATCTGGCTGCCTTGCCTCCCTGGGCAGGGTGCACATATTGCATTTGAGGTTGGTATATGGTGCATACATGTACGTATTGACTGGGGCAACACAGGTCCGTGCTGTGTGCTCAGGCTGGGTGAGGTTCGGGGCCCTGCAGCGCCGCGGAGAGGCAGCCGGGCAGGTCGGGGTTCAGACGGGAGATGGGCCTGGACCTCGCCCCCAGCACCAGCTCCCTGCGGCCCACAGCCCGGACCCCAGAGCTGAGCAAGGGCTGAGCTAATGACCCAGGGTCATTAAATCCTCCTATTTGAGGGGGATTTGAGCCTGAGCAGAGGCTAGGGAAGGAGCAGTGGGGAGAGCCAGGTGCAGAGCCTGGTCCCATCCTGCCTTCCTGGAGCAGCCAGGGACTCACCGGCTCCGGCGGTGACCCGATTTCTTTTTCTTTTTCTTCTTGGGCGGGGGAGAGGTGGAGCTGCTTGACCGTCTTTTCAGCCTGCGGGAAAAAGCAGACACGGTCGGGACCGTACCGGCCACCTTCCTCCTGCCGCGGGCTGCGATGCGGCAGGCTCCGAGCAGTCGCACTGCAGCAGGCAGCCCTCGCCGTACTCGGGGTACTCGGCGGCGTACTCCTCCCCGTCCACCATGTGGTGGTTTTCTATCACTCTGGTGAAAGAGAAGTAGGGTTATTCTGGGACTCTCTGTTTCCCATGCCAGGGCTTGGCGGAGGGTGCTGGGGTCTCCCCGGAGGGGTCAGCCCAGGCAGGCAGCAGGGGCTGGATTAGAGCGAGAGGAGACGGCAGGAGGATCGGGGCATCCGGGGGGGATTATCTGGCCGTCGGGCCGGAGCCACCCGAGATTATCCAGGCTTTGCACCAGGCGCGGGAACGTGCCATGGGCTCAGCCCAGGCCACCCGAGGACGCGTGCGGGGGGTGGGCTGACGTCGCAGGGCGATGGGGGCCCCACCAGGCTGTGCTGCCCAGGCCAGCCGAGATAGGCAGGGGCTGGGCATCAGGCCCGAAAACCCCGGGGGCTCC